CATCTGTTTGACATGATTCACCTCCATTTCTCCAGCGTTCATCACGCCTCAGGAAAGAGGTAAGTCCTATAAAGATCCGGCTTCAGTTCATATGCATTAGACGCTTTACCCTAAGATAAATCTTCACCATCTAAAGTCACACTGTGGTTCAGTATCTGACTCTTCTACGTCTAGACTGAGCCTTATCAGTTTTTTAGTTTGTAGTTATCAGAGTCATGGGCTTCAGGAATGCATCTCTTTTTGCAGTTGAAGTAGATCTTTCTGATATCTTTGATGAGAAAGAAAGACATGATAAAGAGAAAATATGCTTATTTTCAGTTTCATATTTGTATTATGTGCCTCTACTGTGACTACTGTTACTCAAAGGCACCACCTTGTGGCGGTAGTTGGTACATCTGGAACATAAACTTTGCATTTGGTTAAAACAATAATAATGTAAATGCAGATAAACCTGTGACATGAATTAAATGTACCTATATGAAGAAAGGGAAACAATAAGGTCTCTTTTAAACAATACAAAACAGTAAACAAATGGCTTTTTAAGTGTCAATCAGTGAAGGACTTCTTGGCTGTTTGTCAGGTGATTTAGGTTCTGCAGTAAAGATGTGAGGAGATATCTTTCTTCCAGACTTGATCATCTTTTGCAGTAAATCATGCAACCCAAGTGATCAGAAACTCCTGCAGGTTGAAATGGACCAATACAACAATTTTACGGCAGACTTAATCTGAACAACAGGCTATAAAACGTGCTAGAAAGTCCAACTGTGAGGACCCTACTCTAAAAAATAAAATTGTCTTTGTTTTAGTGAACATGTAAACTGTAAGAATATCGCAGTTTATGGCTGTAGCACATTTCCAAGCAGAAGGACTTACTGTGTACACTGTCGTCAGCACACACAACATTAATAATCAGCAGGAAATTAACTCTCAGTTTAATATCATTAATGCTTTCAACTCTTTTGTCCGTAGATCCAGCATTAAGTTGATCAAATAACTCTGCTGACTGACATACAAGTGAATGCTCCTCGCCTGCCAGACAGTATCTCAGGGCGTGCAGCTACCTGCCTGAAGACATTAACGCAATTACTCACCAGCAGAACAGCAGCGCTGGTATGGTTCTAACCTTGTAGGTAGTAAAATATGTTCCTGGAAACACCTTCTGCAGCAGGAAACTAAAACAGAGGAGGTTCTTTATCTTGTCTGTCCAATCTGTCTGATGCAGTTGAAAACTTCACAGATTTGAAGTTGAGACCAAATTAATGCAGTAGCTGTGATTGAAGTGCGGTCAGTCGTTGGCAATTAAGTTAAGTTCCCTCCACGCCTGAAACGTCACCATTGGACTCCTTTGTTTACTTCCAGAACAAAGTGACATCACTATGTAACACTCACGTTAATGGCTAACATTCCAACACATTGTGCGTGATAGGCTAAGGCGTGGGACATCTCTAAGCGGTTGACCAATAACAACAGAGCCGACCAGCTAACCAATCAGAGCAGACTGGGCTCTGGTTTCAGACAGAGGGTGAAAAGAGGTGCTGCAGCACAGGCATGAGAGAAATAAAGAGCTTTTTGAACATTAAAGCATGGAGACATGTCACAGTAGAGACACTACATACTGATATACACCTGAACATCAGCAGGAGAGGACTCTTTAAAGTAGAGACACTACATACTGATATACACCTGAACATCAGCAGGAGAGGACTCTTTAAAGTAGAGACACTAAATACTGATATACACCTGGACATCAGCAGGAGAGGACTCTTTAAAGTAGAGACACTACATACTGATATACACCTGATCATCAGCAGGAGAGAACTCTTTAAAGTAGAGACACTACATACTGATATACACCTGAACATCAGCAGGAGAGGACTCTTTAAAATAGAGACACTACATACTGATATACACCTGAACATCAGCAGGAGAGGACTCTTTAAAGTAGAGACACTACATACTGATATACACCTGAACATCAGCAAGAGAGGACTCTTTAAAGTAGAGACACTACATACTGATATACACCTGAACATCAGCAGGAGAGGACTCTTTAAAGTAGAGACACTACATACTGATATGAACCTGAACATCAGCAGGAGAGGACTCTTTAAAGTAGAGACACTACATACTGATATACACCTGAGCATCAGCAGGAGAGGACTCTTTAAAGTAGAGACACTACATACTGATATACACCTGAACATCAGCAGGAGAGGACTCTTTAAAGTAGAGACACTACATACTGATATACACCTGAACATCAGCAGGAGAGGACTCTTTAAAGTAGAGACACTACATACTGATATATACCTGAACATCAGCAGGAGAGGACTCTTTAAAGTAGAGACACTACATACTGATATACACCTGAACATCAGCAGGAGAGGACTCTTTAAAGTAGAGACACTACATACTGATATACACCTGAACATCAGCAGGAGAGGACTCTTTAAAGTAGAGACACTACATACTGATATATACCTGAACATGAGCAGGAGAG